GGATTTGGGTCCATTCGAGCACCTTTGCCCCGTCCGGATGGCATTCGCAGAGTCGCTAGTGCGTAGAATCAAGTTCAATGGACATAGGACCCGGCGCACGGGATTAACTCTTTGGTTGGCGTCCGGTTGAGCTTTCGTCGCTACTTGGGTCCGGGTGGATGGGGGTTGGGGGGTTGGGGGGTTATGGGCTGTGGAAGGGGAAGGAAGGAGAGGGTAGAGGAGGAAGGGGAGTAAGGGGAGGAGGACATACCAGAAGCCGGGGCGGGCGATGACTGCGAGGACCGTCGAGGTGCAAAAGTCAAAGAGGCTTGCCGTACAGCCTCCGTCTGGGAGGGGAATGTTAATGACAATCATAGGTGAATGGTCCCTACATTTGTTCGTTGGGGGGGTGGGGGGGAGGTGGGCAGAGACGCCCGATGGATATTGGTTTGGTTCCTGCAAGTGGAAAGAATAGGACTTATGTCAACCAAAGGGGAGCCTACGCAGATTGTTAAGCCGGTTGCAGTGCTGCGGCTGCACGATGAAAGAAAAGGTCACCGAGGGATGGGGTCCGTCTGGGGAGACGGAGTGAACCGTCAGGTAGGGGAAGAGGGACTTTGTCCATTCCTAACCCAGGCAAATAAGGCTGTTAGTCGAATGTACAGTATGTCAGGGTCCTAGAACTTGCCGGATCGTCTGCCCGGTCGATTGTTCCGGCGAATTGAGAGATCAGCTCGCGGATCCGTGCCTCGCCGGTGAGATCGAGGTAGGTGCTTGCATGCCTTTCTGGTTTGGTTCCAGAGTTCGACATGATTTCGGTGGTTGTTTGTGAAAGAGATGGGGAGAGTTGCTGTGTGGAATAAATGAATCAATGAAGATGGATGTTATACGAAGTACGGAATAAATGGCCCGGGTGCTTATATCCGACGATGTTTACCGAAGGATTGGGATTCTGTCCCTGGGTAAGAAAAGGAACCAATTACATACATAACTAATCAAAACTGGGGATTAATATTACCTAAATTCAACATTCTTTCTCACCTATCAGCTAAAAAGTGATCTGTCTCTGCCTGCCTGCCTCAGGTCTTCCTGCCACACCTGTGAATACCAACCCCCGGGTTCGGGTTAGGCCAAGGGGACCAGGGGCTACCCGCTGTGGGGCCAACCCCCGCCGAGGCCGTCCCCAAATTCCGGGGCATGTGCCTTCGGCATTGGCGTCTCGACCCCTGCTCCATTAGCCGCAGCACCCATGTCGCGATTGTCATCGCATCTTCACCTGTCAGGCCGTGCTCCCTTCAACAATCAACATTCAACAACCCAAACCTCGACACCTCAATTCCCGACATCAAACCCCCCATTACCAACCATCACAAATGCCGCGATAACACCCTCCACCAACCCAACCAAAGGCCAAAAATGGAATTCACCCCCGCGCTGCACCCCCCCCTCGACACGCTCAAGCCCTCCCTCTTTGAGCTCCTCTCCGAACAACAACTCTCCGCGCTCCTCCCCCCGACCCTGCGCTATCTGCTCACGCTCCTCACGCACCGCCACCCGCGGCTCTTCCTGCGCCTTCTCAACCGCTTCGACGAGCTGTACGCGCTCGGCGCGCTCCTCGTCGAGCGCCACTACCTGCGCACGCGCGGCGGCGCCTTCACCGAGCACTTCTACGGGCTCAAGCGCGAGCGCGCCTTGGCCGCCGAGCTCCCCCGCGCGACCGCGGCGGCGCCGGGGGCGGTGCGGGAGGCGTTGCGGTTGGGGAGGGGCGATGTGTGGCGGAATTTGGCGGTTGTGGTGGGCGTGCCGTATTTGAAGAGGAAGTTGGACGAGGTGTATGAGGTGGATGCGCCGCGCGCGTTGTTGGGGGCGGCGTATAACCAGCGCCCGGGGGCGGGGGCGGGGTGGAGGGAGAGGGTGCGGTTTTGGTGGAGGTGGTTCTTGAGGAGGGTGTATCCTGGGGTGAATGCGGCGTATTATTTGGCGATGTTGGCGTTTAATTTGGCGTATTTGTTTGATAACTCCAAGTATCACAGCCCGTTTTTGTGGTTGATTGGGACCAGGGTGCGGCGGATGAACGGGGCGGATTACCGGGCGATCGAGGCGCTGGAGGAGAAGGTGGCGAAGAGGGGGGGGACGACGACCATCGGGGCGAGGATGCTGGGCGGGCTCTCGATGGTGCTGCCGACGAGCATCTTTGCGCTCAAGTTCTTGGAGTGGTGGTATGCATCCGACTTTGCCAAGCAGTTGTCGAGGAAGGCCGCTGAGAGCCTGGATCTGCCACCGCCCGTCGTGACGGGGCTGCCTGAGAAGAAGGCACAGCCGAAGGCGGAGAAGGACGCCGGTAAGGAGGAGGAGGAGGATATTGACGAGGAGGAAAAGGAGCGGCGGGCGGTGGAGAAAGCACCCATCGCGGCGTCGTCGCTTCTGCCCATCTACACGGTCCCGGCGCCCGAGGACTCGGACCACTGCCCGATCTGCGAGGGCGAGATCACCACCGCCGCGGCCTGCCAGACGGGGATCGTGTACTGCTTCTCCTGCATCCACAAGTGGCTTACCGGAACGCACGCGAGGCAGGAGAAGTTCATGGCTGAGCGGGCGGGCAAGTGGGAGAGCGGTGAGGGGAGGTGCGCCGTCACCGGGAGGCGGGTGCTGGGCGGGACTGAGGGGTTGAGGCGGATCATGGTGTAAAGTTTGGACTGTAATGATGGCTGTATCAAAAGCAAGGGGCCGGTGTATGATTTCCAGTGTTATTAGAGATATCTAGGCTGCGTCGGGGCATGCCAGGCATTGTCAGAAACGCGTATAATACAATAAAACAACCCAATTTCCACGTGCTCTTTTCCCACTCTATTTTTTTCACGAGCTGTACGCAGCAGCCCAGCATCTAGTACTTTACAAATCCACCACCGTCACCGGGTTGCGCAGTTTACCGCTGTTCCCATACATGAGCGACACGTTGGCCATCAACCCGCCGTTGTTGGTCCCCGGCCCAAGCATGATCCACTTCCAGAGGATGTTAGAGACACCGTACCAGAACACGTTGAAGGCGTCGGTCCACCGGGCACTCGGGATCATGTCGTAGAAGGGCCCTCTCTGGGGCCGCGACATGAGCGACTCGTAGGCGCGTTGGCACTCGTCGTAGTAGACAGCCTCCTTGCCGTAACCGTAGTGCGTGTGGCCAAAGACGTGCAGCTTCGGCTTGACGCGCCAGACTTCGTCGAGCAGCCCGGCGCAGCCGAGGCCGAGGTCGAGGTGGTGGCGCTGGCGGTGTTAGTTCACCGTCACTCGGTCACCAAATTAAGGAGGCTACTCACCGGTGGTGTGTGCGTGACCAACAAGTCGGTCTCATCCGGTATCCTCCCCTGCCACGGGTGTTTCTCCCGTTGGTACTGCAAACTACTCATCCATCAGCCCTCTCTCCGCATCTCAAAATCAAAAACAACGCAAGCAAAGAAACGCACTCACGCAAACCCCTCCCCACACCACGGCACGGCCCCCCAACCATACACATTCAGCCTCCTCCCGCCCTCAAACTCCAACTCCACGCCACGATCGCACAAATACTCCACCCCCGTCCAATCCACCTCCCCCCCCACCCCCAACCCCAACTCCTCCCTCACCCCCTCATCCACCCACGCATCATGATTCCCTCCCACCACGACCTTCCACCGATGCCCCAACCCCCTCAACCAATCCACCTGCTTCTGCAGCTCCGCCACCGTGCCCCCCACGGTCAAATCCCCACAATGCACCAGCACGTCCCCATCGGGCACCGCATACCCGGGGATCAGGTTGTGCGTGTCGGACAGGCAGACCACGCGGATGGGCCGCCGCCCGCGCGGCGGATGGAAGGGCCGGCCGCGGAGGGGGAGCAGCACGTGCCGGTACAGGAGCTGCGTGAGGTATTGGAGGGGGGAGGCCAGCAGCCAGTCGAGGGGGGTTGGCGGGTTCCAGGGGGAGGCGCGGCGGAGGTGGAGGAGTTGGAGGAGGGTGTTGAGGTGGTGGAGGGCGAGGGTGAACATTTTGGTGTGTTTGTTGTTGTTTGTTTGCGCTTTTTGGAGGGGGCTTGTGTGAATGAGGTTTGTTTGTTTGGCAGTTTCCTGGGGTTGGGCGGGAGAGGGTAGCGAGCCCAAATGTGGGAGACTTGGATGTGGCGGTTGGTGCTCCGAGTCTACCAGGTATGGTTTTGAACTTAATTAATTGGAAGCATATCCGGTGTTACACGGCCGGCCGGGTGGGACGATGTCATGGCTGTGAAATGATGGATGTGAGTTGTGAATGTGGACGTCACAAGGCGCGAATCACCAAAGCCAAACAGGAAAGTTGAGGCGCTGTGAACCCTAACCCTTTGTTTACCCCTGTGCGGCCGTGAAGAGACCACTCGCTCAATGTTGGAGGGATTCCGATTCAAGCCTCAGGCTCAAAACTTGAAGGCCTGGTATGTACTTGGCTCTTCCCATACCTGACATCCATCACCTTCTGGTTCTGGCAGCGGAGGTAAATAAAGCCTCAACATGCATCTTTCGCCCACTTACACACCCAACTGTACGCTACGTAGCTCTGGGGCTTATTTATTATTATTATTATTTCCTACACCGATATGCCCGTGGGCGCGCCGGTCCTTCTACTGCTATTTACAAAGGAAACCGTACCGTATAGGCCGGATAAAAACCTCTGTCTACCACTTTGAGTCAACAATCTATGAATCCGTCATACTGCAAAAGAAAGGAGGCCCTTTGCCGGCCTCCGGGCCCTCTAGCCCTCCCCATCCACTGTTTCTAGCTCCAGCCTTCTGGCCAGCCTATACTCCAGTAGCCGGCCAGAGTCCATCAGCCAGCCAAGGACCTTCCTAACAAATCTTCTGCTCCGGGCACCTACTCCCCGTAATACGGTTTGTAGGTCCCGATGTGACCGAATCTCTCTGCCGTCCCACGGCCTTTGTAACGGCGGGTCGGGGCACCAAACCACCAAGTGCTCCACTGTCTCCCTGCCCCTCCCGCACTCGCAATAGGGGGTACGGACCTCCGGGACTTTCACCCTGAACAGGTAGTCCCGGAGGCCTATATCCCCGATACGGGCCTGGGAAAGGAGGGAGCTCTGCGCCTTTGTAAGACCTTCGTGTCTCATCAGAGCTTTGTCGGTAAATAAGAGGGCTGGGGGGTCTTCGTCGGCTATCCTCCTGTTTAATACCCTCTGTCGAGTAGTACTTTGTTGACTAGCTCTCTGTTGTTCCCACCGGGCCTGCCAGGCTAGTTCGACCACCTCCTTGGTATTCGACCCCCTCTGGGGCTTATTTATATGCAGTTATGGAGGTAATTACTGCTACTCTCTCGAGGCTTGGAAAGAGGGGTGACGCTTCTAGTAAGAGAGATATCCACGAGCCGCTTTAATGCCCATGTCAAGAACAGACAGTCAGAGAGATACAGGAGCAGAAATAGGTCGGGAATTGAGCGATACAAGACCTTAACGACACCAGACCAATAACAACCGAGGCTTGGCTTCTTCCCCTTAACACAAGTCAGTTCAAACACCCAAAAAAATCAGAAAGAGCCGTTGAGTCAAAGTTGCAAATTTTAAGACTAAACAGTTATTACTCAGGTATCTCGCTCATCACTCGTCTATCCTTTTTTGTGCAGCCAAACAGATCCGACCCCATCTCCCACAACAAACGCCAACAGCCCGAAATGCATCAGGTATCTAATAGAACAGACAAAATAAAAGAGAAAAAGAAAAGAAAAGAAAAAAAAAGAAGAAGAAAGTAAACAAAATACTCAACCCCTCAATCCTCAATCCTCAATCCTCAATCCACCCTCCTCCTCCACCCCGCCTCCCCATACTCAGGCAACCCCCCGCGATCCGCCGCCTGCCCCTCCCCCCCCGCCGCCAGCATCCAACTCCCACGCTCCCTCCCACCACCACCACCACCACCCAACTCCTCTTCCGACGGCACCAGCAACACCCGCGGCCTCAAATGCTCATCCGCCTCAGCCTCCTCAAAACTCGGCGGCCCACCACTACCAACCACCACCTCTTCGGTTTCATTTTCCCCACTCTCCGACGACGCCCTCGAAGAAACCGACCCCGAAGCGGAACCCGAAGTAGACGCATCCACCGCCACCTGCAGCGGCACGGTCAGGGTGACCGTGTTCGACGCGCCCTTGCTTGCCAGCGCGACGGTCAGCTGCACGGTGTAGACGCGGCTGGCGATGCACGAGTGGAAGGTGGGCACGAAGGTGCGCTTGTCGGTGGGCAGGGAGAGCGGGACTCTGATGGTGGTGGTTTGCTGTTGTTGTTGTTGCTTGTGGTTTGGTGGCAAGAGGGGGTTGTGGGTGTTGTTGGTGTTGGTGTCGAGATCGCTGCTGCTGCTGCGGGCTGAGTGCATGCTGCTGCCGTAGCCGGAGTCGCGGCGTGCGAGGGGGGATGAGGGCTTGGAGGAGGGGGAGGTCCAGGCGGGCTGCTCGGCGAGGGTGACGGGCGGGAGGGAGGTGGATGTGAAGAACTGGCCGCGGCGGTCGGTGAGGTAGGGCGCGTTCCACTCGCCGAGGTTGGGGAATGAGGAGATGGTACCGGAGGAGTAGTACGTGTGCGCCGTTACTTTGGCCGTCACCCCCGTGATGGTGGGGGGGAGTGTGCGCGGCGACGCGGGGTCGAACGACAGTCGGATGCGCGCCATCGGGTGCGACATGACGCGGCGCCCGTCCGAGGAGAGCACCGCCGCGCCCGGCTGGAGGGCTTCGGCTGTGAGGCGGCCCAGCTTGGTGGTGAGGATGTTCTTGCGCAGCGTCTTGGTCTTGGACATGCGGTAGAGGCGGTCCTTGTCGGTGATGTTGAGCGGGGGGTCTTCGGGGCTCGCGGGGAGGACCCGCAGGGGCTGGCTGGCTTCCATGATGCGGGTCCTGTGGTCGCCGTCGTCGCGGAGCACGCGCGCCGTGATCTTGTACTCGACCTGGGCCATGAGCGGTGCCATGTCGTCGCGCTCCCAGCCGCCGAGGCTGGGCGGGAGCCGCACGTGGTGGTCCTGCATGGCATCCGAGAGCCGGGCGTGGTTGCAGGCGTTGATGGTGAGCTGGTTGGGGATCACAAAGTTGAAGGGGATGGTGTAGGTCTCGCCGGTCTGGAGCACCCTCGGCACGGGGTAGGTCGACTCGGGGATGGGCATCACCATCTTGAGGAACGTGTGGGTGACTTCTTGGGGCGCCGACATGCCCTCGAACAGGGTCTTGGTGTGCCCGAGGAGCAAAATCTGGATCGAGTCGAAGCGGACATCGCGCTTGGTTGTGATGGTCAGGTCGCCGGCCACGGGCGAGAGAGAGGTGTAGACCTTGGAGCTGTAGTGGTCCTTGAGGTTCACGCTGATGTCCGACTTGGGGTACGCCATCCTCTTAGCGTGGCTCGGACCGTTGCTGGGAGACACAATGCTCGCTGCCGACGAAGCTAGCCAGGTGCCCATTGCGACTGGCGTGCTGTGAGAGAGAAATAGCGAAAAAGATAGGATCCGACACAAAGGGGTGGGTCCCAATGGGACAGTATACAGTCAGTCGACTGCAGGCGGATCAGGGCGGGGATAACGTTATGACTGTGGCCGGGAATATGTATAAGGTGTGGTTGGTGTAACGGGAGGAGGCAGATGTGTTTAAGTGCCGCTGTCAAAAGGCGTAGCCGGACACTCGGGAGACAAATAAAGATGTCAGGGGGATGGATGTGATGCTTAGTATGAGACAAGGGATCCGGTTCTAGACGAGGGGGCCATTCTTTCTCTTTATAAAGAAGCACCCGTTGACTCGACAGTGGGAAGAGAAAGACCAACCTCAGCCCTGTGACTGACATCCCATCCATGGATGGAGAGGATCTAACTTCATGGAGTTTGACTGACTAACCTGACTCATTACAAAGCAGTCCTGGGCTGCTGGGCTCTCTCCCTGGAACAACCACAGTTGGTGCCCACCGCTAAACGAAACGAGCAGCGTCATGTTGATGCGCCCAAGTGATCTGCTGGCGCCCTTCTTTTTCCCGACATGGCTCGCCGTGCCTCGCCGGGCCGGGGATGAATTCTGATTGGCGAATGCGCCTGTAGCGTGCGTCGTTGAAAAGGCGGGATGTGGCCCTGCAGCCCTTCCCTGGCCGCACTAGCTGCACATCCGGCAGCCCCAAAGGAGGGGCCCTCAAGGTGCTTCCAGGTTCCGGCCAGGCTCGTGCCAGGCATCAAGCACACAGTTAAACCTGAAAAGTGGGGTTGCCATGGCCATCGGTTGGCTACTTCCGTCGATTACCATTGCATCCATTGATGACTGTTCTCAACACTCGCACGTACTGCCTCGTCGTCAGCCGAGTGAAAAAGCTTTAAAGTACGCGGTGGCACGACAGCACGGGGCGGTAGATCACATGCATCTACCTCCCGTCAAAGCCTCACGCCGCCCAAAGCGTTGGGTGTACATGGAGGTGCTCAGGTTATGGCATCGTGTCACAAACGCTCGCTCTCTCTTTCCCTCCCATGACAGAAACGGTTGACGAAATCGATCTGGGCTCCACAATGTCCAACTGGGCCCCAGCACGCAACACCCTAGCCGTTCCTGGGGGCTTGGCATCCTTGTCACCTTGTCTGGGGAAAGGCGTGAAGGTCCCCTGTCCGATTATCGGATGACAAACTGACAAACTGACGAGCTAAGAAACTGTCCAGTTCAGCCTCAACCTTGAATCCCACTCGCGGCGCGAGTTTGCATGATCAATGCCGTCCGGATACGGCATAGCTCGTGTGACCGTCACTGGCAAAACTAGCTATCAATAGCCGCCTTTTGGCGGATGTCTATGCCGTTCAGCTGCCCGGGTCCGGTGTCGGACGGGCGAGAGCCGGGACGCGTTGGCCATCCGCTCCTCACGGTTCCCGGCCGGCGACCCAATTGGGCCAGCCAGCCCTGTCTCGATCCCTGCACCCTCTCCGCATCCATCCGCTTGTTTTCGATGCTCTGGGGGAGTGTCGATGACATCGACACGCGGCAGTATACGGCATACTTGTAAATAGAACCGAAACGAACTGTCCCGATCGTAACAGAAGACAGGCTTCGCCGTCCCAGGATCAATGACGGGCTTACACCCGAACCTCCTACACTCGAACCGCCGCACGGAGCCATCCTTCCCGTTTCAACAGCCCTCGTTAGCTCATGCGTAGCCGAGCCGAGCCACCTCGTGAACCGTCAAAAAACCGACCTTCGCTAGCAGCCACCTTTGGAGGCTTAGTGTCGACATGCCGCGTGGATTCTCGGATCCATCGTATCGCGTTGCGGCTCGAGAATCCAGCACGGGCATGATATTGTTGGAGTCATCGGGCAAGCAACCCACCCACTCCGCTCCGTAGCGATGCGGACTTGGTAACTAGCGGACCCCACACACCACCCGCTAAGACGGCATGGATCCACGTTGCGTCCATGCCGCTTCTTTTTTTTTTTTTTTTTTCAACATGTTTGCACCCGGGCCCCTGGGACGATTTCTCGAGCGTGCACACGCGGCATCCTGTCGTCATACACAGTAGCGTAAACCGTTGAGAGGAGGTGGGTGTGCATCATCTCGGGCAAATGAATGATCGACCTTGGCGAGTGCGAGTGCCAGTCCGAATGGGTGGCAGCCCGAAGGAGAGCACGAAAGCCGTTTGTCGTCTGGATTTGGGGGTCGCGAATTAGCGACCGGGGGTTGCGCCTTTCTGTCGACATGTCTGTCTCGTTTCAAACAACCTTAAAAGAAATCCCTGCACTGAGTCAGGCGTGCTTTTGGGCCCTTGGCTGCTAACCGACCTCGAGACCCACCAATGGAGGTGGTCGTGGCTCATGCGCCCGTGCTGCTGCTTTGTCAGAACCCGTCTTAATAATCCACCCGCGTCAGTATCACGACCCTGGGTCGGGTCATCACTGGCGTGTCGTTGCTCCGCGTCGAAATTTTCGAGGTTCCACGGCAGACAGGCGCAAGATGCGGCTGGAAATGGCTCCGCAACGTTGGCCCAGCACCTAGTGTACATAGGATCCGAGTCATCGTTCATCGAAGGAAATGGATGGCATAATTAAACATTTCTAATATCCAAGCCTCCTCGATGCTACCTCGACGGCAATGCCGATGCTGGCCGCCCATGACTGTTAATTCTCTAACATGACGTGACTCTAATCAACCCAATCAACAACTCCATGGCTTCTCTACCCAACGACATGGTATACTCCCAAACAACAGTCACATCAATTCCTCAGTCATGCCACGAGATGTACAGCATGATGCCCGCGCCAGCGAAGATGGCCGCAAACTGCACCAGCGTCTTGCGCAGCTCGGCCGCCTTGTTGGGGCCCGTCTCGAGCAGCTCGGGGATGACGGCCACGGTGCCGACGTAGAGGAACGTGCCGGCTGTGAACGGCAGCAGCATGTCGCCCCAGGTCAGGCTGGTGCCCCAGAGGCCGCCGCGCATGCTCATGGCCGCTCCGTCGGCATCGCCGCCGCCGCCGCCGCCGCCGCCAAACTCTTGCACCGCGATGCCGATGAGCGTGCCGAGCAGGGCGCCGATGGCGGTGACGAACTGCGCGCCCATGGCCTGGCGCTTGGTGAAGCCCGACTGGACGAGCAGGGCAAAGTCGCCGACCTCGTGCGGGATCTCGTGGAAGAAGACGGCGACGGTGGTGGTGGCGCTGATGGTGGGGGACGCGTAGAAGGACGCCGACATGGCCAAGCCATCGGTGATGTTGTGCGTGAAGTCGGCGCTGCGAGGGAATTAGCGTCATCTCGTCATCACACACTGTCCATATTCTTCGTAGAATCCCCCCACGTACATCATATTCAACAACCCGCCCAGCTTAACCGACGGATTGACCTCCTTCTTTTCCACCTCCTTACCCCCCGCCTCCACCACCTCCCCCTTCTTCCCCTTCCTCAACCTCACCCCATCCTTTCCCCCCTCCACCGCACTCGACCTCCCTTCCCCTTCCCCATGCCCATGCCCACCATGCCCATGCTCATGCCCCCCCGCACCCCCCGTCGCGATCCGCAACCCCTTATCCATGCCCACGAACACCAAAAACCCCACCAACACCGCCACCCCCAACAACAGATTCCGATTCGGCTCCACCAGCACCAACCGCACCCGGTCCGGCTCGTCCTCCCCCAAAAAGATCTCCGGCAGCAAATGAAACAGCGTATCCCCCAACAACCCCCCAACCGCAAACGCCACCATGACGGACAGCGACGCCGGGTCGATGTTGGTCGGGCAGAGGGCGAGCAGGAAATTCGGCGGGCCGGAGATGTATAGCGTTGCGAGGAGGGCGTTGACGGCCGGGTGGGAGGAGGGGAAGAGCGTGGTGAAGAGGCGGGTGGTCAGCGAGGGGGGGTGGGCGGCGTGGGTGGTTGCTTTGAGCGTGGAGAGGTGCGTGATGATGGGGCATTCCTGTTTTTTTGGGGGGGAGAGGGGGGAGGGTTAGTGGTTGGTTGGTTGGTTGGTTGGTTGGGAGGTGTGAGGGAGGAGAGGGGTTTACGAACTTGGAGTTGGGCGTCGAGGTCGGCGAGGGAGAGGGTGTCGGGGGAGGGTATCGCGGTTTTGTCGGCGGTGCTGCTGGTGCTGGCCCATGCTGCGAGGGCAAAGGTCGCGACGAGCACAAAGGCTGCGGCGCGGGTGCGCCGGAGCGGGAGGAGGGCCATCGCGGCGGGTTGCGCGGGGGCAATTGGGGTGTTGCGGGATGTTGGCCGCAGCGGTGTTCGGGACGGGATGAGGAATGAAAAAGGGGTCGCGTGTGTGTCGCCAGTGTTAGTTAGGTGTGAAGTGGATCGGAGGCCAGCTGGTCGAAATTGGAGGATGCTCTTTGCCAAGCCCCGGGCCGGTAGGGCTGAGTCTGAGTGGGCTTGGAATCCAAAGCATGATCAGATGAGGAAGTCAGGGAGGTCGATCCCTCGAGTCAATCTTGGGCATTGTGAGTTGTTGTCGCGGAACCCGAAACTGTTTGGTTTCTTTGCATCATTCATCAGTGTCAATTCGGTCCCAATTAATCACGGTGTAAACCGGGTATTTGTGGCTCTGGGCGACAGTCCAGGAACTCGGAACGCATAATGGTGCGGGGGTCATTAACTAATTAAAAGTTGACAGAAATGCTACCCTACCTACCGAGGTACATCGCTATGCCAGGGAAGCAGAGAGTCTTCTCTGGGTAGACGGTCATCTGCACTCAAGGCACGGTCGATACGTGCTACAGTGGCCCTCCTGTGTCAAGGAATTTTGCATGATTTGCACGATTTTGCATGAAGCACATAACTATACATAAACATGTATCTTTTCTGTTCGCCAATGACCTGTTCGCCCGCAACCTATTTACAGCGCATTCCCAAGTATCGTGCTTGTGTCCAACCCATGATGAATGGATATCTTGCCCGCTTGGTCACCTCCAGTCAGGTACTAGGTACCTAGTACCGTCCCAAACAGCACGCTTGACCGGGCTTAACTGCAAATCTCGCCGTTCCCCGTTAAACGCCGATAGCCTCGTACTTGCGGATGCAGACATCGAAGCTCCACTCAGGGAGTTACCCTCGGACGTGAGCTCATCGGCGCGGCTTTCCGTCAGGTTGATGAGGGTGATGGTGATTGTCTAGGGAGAGAGGTACGTTATCATCACGTTAGTGTGATTCGGCGACCAACTTCGGTCGTGATAGGGATACTAACATCGATAACCGACTCAACCTGGCGAAGCATAACAGCCATCGGTTGGCCAATGACAGGGATTTTTTTGACAAGCCCAGCCTTTTCGATCAGGATGTTGAGCAGTCCTTGGTAACCACGGTCCAACTAAAAACAGTCTGCTCACGGAAAGTCGTACAAAACGGGACGAGGGTTTAAAGCTACCTCATCGTAAGCAGTGAAAACCAGGTCGGCATCAGGCCCGCGCCGAGTCACACCGGCAGCAGCCCTGCCCCTACGCTGAATGGGCCGGGTTCCATCGAATTGAGAAATCAAGACATTGGCAGTTGAGACAATGTCGCTGAAGCCTGAGATGAGCGTCTGCTATGTGTTAGAAGATGCAGGCCGCGTTCTGGAAAGCGACGTAGGCGAAGACAAACCGGGAAAGGGCCCTGGCCAATGATGATCAAGGGGAGGTTGAGGACAGTGATGCTCTGAGCTGGGGCGTTGAGATCTTTGGCTTTCTGGGTGAGTGATCCGAGAGCATTGGTGATCTGCTGAGGCGTGACAGCCGCGTTGGCAGCCGTTGCCATCAGGGCAACGGCACCGGTAAAGAGGGAGCGGAGGGAAACCATATTCGAGGTGTTAAAACGTCTGGGCTATGAGGCCTGAGGGAGTATGTTGGAGGTTTTGAGTCGAGTGGGAAGTGAAGTGCGAGGATGCTGAGAATCAGTGGGCTGAAGATATGAACTTGACGGTGAGGGAGGACGGCCTTTTTGTAAACAACCCGAGGCACCCTCCCTCCCTCCAAGATGCTGATCAGCTCAACATCTCCGCGACAAGCGCTGGGGGATTGGATCGGTCTTTCGGAGTTGACTTGATCGGCGACAAGAGCCCGCCGTCACATCACCGACCGGAGCGGAAGGTCGTGTCGATCAATATGTGGTGCCACGGGTTGTGAGCTAGTCTGGTAGTGAAGTGGTGTAAGTCAAGTCGGTGTGCCAATATCCAGGCGCCATTCCTTGCGCTGATTCGTGGTTTCCCCTACATCCATTGTTGATTTGACTGCAGGTACTTCGTAGACTGGACTGTGCTGGCTCGGGCGTGCGGAGTCTCGACATAGCCGTCCAAGAACCGATATAAGTTGAATCTTTTCTAGGTACTTATTATAACCCCAGATCCGGTGTCCGGCCCACTTAGAAACTTGAAGGCGCAGCCTGTCTGTCGTCTGGGAGGGAGACTTCAATTGTCACACAGCTCGCCTGATCCTCGTGCAACCACATCACATTGACATTACCCACCACCCATACAGAAGGATAGGTATCTACTACCGCGTTACATCCCGTGAGAGTAACTTGGCTCCAAGACCATACTGACCGAACCAGTTCTGTATCGAAGACGGCAACAGCATTGTAGCACTCCCAGGTACCTAGTTAAAGACTCCAATGCAGATAACCTCACTCACTCGGCCTCGCACGCGTCACCGTCCTCCTCGGCCCCCTCAACCCCGTCGCACGAGATATCAAAAAGCGGCGTTGACCCCAGCCCCTCCCCCAAAATCCCAAAGCTCGG